ATGGCTGAACAGTGTGGGTCATGCTGGGGGGGTCACAGCTGCACATCATCTCCTGGAGACCGAGCACCCGGAGTCTGGGGTGTCCTGGTGGGGGAGCGGATGGGATCAGCCCCATGGCGAGGGGTCGTTGGCTGGCGTCACCCAGGGAGATACCGGAGCTGCAGCAGCTCGTCCCCACCAGCATCCCAAGGCATGGAGGGCAGGATGGGGTGCATGGGGGAGCCGCATGCAGCTTGGGGGGATGCAGGAAGTAAGAACTGAATCTCTGCACCCCCCTGCCCTGCACAGCCGTTTCTATGGGGAAACTGAGGCACAGGCAGTGGTTTGCTGACAGCCTGACCCAAACCACGTCCAAAACCACCACAGACGCTCCCTGAGCTCCAGTGCTTCCCATCCCTCTGCTTTCCATGGGAAACAACCGGAGCAGGAGCCACCAACCCAAACCCCTCCTCAGCAGTGACACAGTGAGATGGGGGCAGCACCACAGAGGGACCAAAACCATCCCAAAGGAGCTGTGGCCCCACTGGGAACAGCGGGGAACAGTTGGATGGGCAACAATGGATGGGAAACTGGGAATGTGATGGGAAACACGGGCTGTGCTGTGTGGAGGAAGCGACCGGCCCTTCCCAGCCTGGGTGTGCTCCCTCCTGCTCCCGGTGCCAGCACCCCCTTTCCCATAGGATCCATTGGCAGCGAGGTCGCAAAGACCTTGGTTGAGTGGTGGCACCTTCCTTCAGCCCTGTTTGCCCCGGTCCCATCCCGCTTCTCCAGCCCTCCCCTGGGATGCCTGGCGATGGGAGGTGATGGTGAGGGTGGTGATGAAGGTGGGGATTGCAGGCCCCGGCACAGGGGGGACCGGCTCCCTGCTCATCCCAGGGGATGCTGCCTTTGGAGGGGCAAACGGGGTGGAGTGGGCAGGAGGGATTGCTCTGCCCGGTGGCGACTGCCCCATTCCCAGTGATGGGAACACCCCTGCCCCATTCCCAGCAACAGGAACACCGCCGCTGGCCCCATTCCCAGCCACGGGAACACCCCTGCCCCATTCCCAGCCACGGGAACACCCCTGCCCCATTCCCAGCCATGGGAGCACCCCTGCCCCATTCCCAGTGATGGGAACACCCCTGCCCCATTCCCAGCCACGGGAACACCCCTGCCCCATTCCCAGCCACGGGAACACCCCTGCCCCATTCCCAGCCACGGGAACACCGCCGCTGGCCCCATTCCCAGCCACGGGAACACCACCGCTGGGCACCCACCAGCCCCGGGTGGGTTTTGCCCCGCGGGCCGGGTTCGGGCTCCGGCTCCCGCTCCGCTCCCCCGTTTCCCGTCGCCCGGAGGCATTTCCCTGGGCCTTACCTCAATTCCCGGAAAGCGCTACCTCATCCTTGTCCGGGAGCCAGGGAAGCAAACACAGGCGGAGCCCCGGCCTCCCTCCCCTCCTCCTCCCGCTCCTGCTCTGCCTCCAGAAGCTTCCCCGGCTCCAGGGCTGAGGCCTCCCGGTGCCTGCCCCACACCTCGATCCCACCGGTGCTGCCCCAGTCCAGCCTCAGCATGGCCCCAGTGCAGACCCAATACAAGCCCAGAGCTGCCCCAGGACGGCTCTGGTACAGCCCCACTAAAGCCCCAGTACAGACCCAATACAACCCCAGTACTGCCCCAGGACAGCTCTGGTACAGCCCCACTAAAGCCCCAGTGCAGACCCAATACAACCCCAGTACTGCCCCAGGACAGCTCTGGTACAGCCCCACTAAAGCCCCAGTGCAGACCCAATACAACCCCAGTACTGCCCCAGGACAGCTCTGGTACAGCCCCACTAAAGCCCCAGTACAGACCCAATACAAGCCCAGAGCTGCCCCAGTACAGCTCTGGTACAGCCCCACTAAAGCCCCAGTGCAGACCCAATACAAGCCCAGAGCTGCCCCAGGACAGCTCTGGTACAGCCCCACTAAAGCCCCAGTGCAGACCCAATACAAGCCCAGTGCTGCCCCAGTACAGCTCTGGTACAGCCCCACTAAAGCCCCAGTGCAGACCCAATACAAGCCCAGAGCTGCCCCAAGATGGCTCTGGTACAGCCCCACTAAAGCCCCAGTACAGACCCAATACAACCCCAGTACTGCCCCAGGACAGCTCTGGTACAGCCCCACTAAAGCCCCAGTACAGACCCAATACAAGCCCAGTACTGCCCCAGTACAGCTCTGGTACAGCCCCACTAAAGCCCCAGTACAGACCCAATACAACCCCAGTACTGCCCCAGGACAGCTCTGGTACAGCCCCACTAAAGCCCCAGTACAGACCCAATACAAGCCCAGTACTGCCCCAGGACAACTCTGGTACAGCCCCACTAAAGCCCCAGTGCAGACCCAGGATAACCCCAGTACTGCCCCAGTACAAACCCAGTACATCCCCAGTACAGCCCTTGTACAGACCCAGTACTGCCCCAATACAGACCCTGGTACAGTCCCAGTACTGCCCCAGTTCAGCCCAGGTACAGCCCTGGTACAGTCCCAGTACTGCCCCAGTACAGACCCAGTATAACCCTGGTACTGCCCCAGTACAACCCCAGTACAGCCCTGATACATCCCTGGTACAGATCCAGCACTGCCCCAGTACAGACCCTGGTACAGACCCAGTAAACCCCCAGTACAGGCCCAGGTAAAGCCACGGTACTGCCACACTATAGCCCCTATACAGCTCCAGTACAGCCCTGGTAAAGTCCCAGTCCAGTGCCAGCAAAGCCCCAGTTCAGCCCAGTGCTGCCCCAGTACAGCTCTGGTACAGCCCCACTAAAGCCTCAGTACAGACCCAGTATAACCCTGATACTGCCCCAGTACAACCCCAGTACATCCCCGGTACAGACCCAGTTCTGCCCCAGTACAGACCCTGGTACAGACCCAGTAAAGCCTCAGTACAGGCCCAGGTAAAGCCATGGAACTCCCACACTATAGCCCCTATACAGCTCCAGTACAGCCCTGGTAAAGCCCCAGTCCAGTGCCAGCAAAACCCCAGTTCAGCCCAGTGCTGCCCCAGTACAGCTCTGGTACAGCCCCACTAAAGCCATGGTACTGCCGCACTATGGCCCCTGTACAGCTCCAGTAAAGCCCCAGTACAGCTCCAGTACAGCCCTGGTGAAGTCCCAGTCCAGCGCCATTAAAACCCCACTACAACCCCATTCAGCCCAGTACAGTCAAAGTAAAACCCCACTGCAACCCCAATACAACCCCAGTACAGCCCCAGTACAACTGGGCACTTGCAGCCCTGCCTGCCCGGACCTGTTCCGTCCAGCCGGCCCAGGGTGCAGCATGCACACGCATGTGTGTGTGCATGCCATGGCCCTGCATGATCACGCGTGTATGTGTGCACACAGAGCTACTGAGGAGCCCACAGCGACCACCCCCAGCCCCATCCCTCCTGCCTGCAGGGAGCCCAGCACACATCCAGGCTCTTCCCAGTCCCAAACTGGGACCAGGGACTCAGGCCATGGCAGGAGGAGGAAGGAGCAGGCAGTAAGAGGGCAGGTAAGCGTGTGTGCACGGACAGGAGGGATGCAGTGAGCAGGACAGGCACTTGTGTGGTCCATAGGTGTGATCCCAATGGTCTCAATGACCACCCCACTGATCTCAACTATTATCCCAATGGTTTTGGGGATCTTGATGATCCCAACAACCTTCAGGATCCCACTCATTTCAGTGATACAAATGATCCTAGTAATCTCAATGATCCCAATGATCTCAATGACCCAAATGCCCTCAATGACCCAAATGCCCTCAATGAACCAAGTGCCCTCAATGATCCCAACTGATCTCAATGATCCCAATGATCTCAATGACCCAAATGCCCTCAATGACCCAACTGATCTCAATGATCCCAAAATGATCTCAATGACCCAAATGCCCTCAATGACCCAAATGCCCTCAATGACCCAACTGATCTCAGTGATCCCAACTGATCTCAATGACCCAAATGCTCTCAATGATCCAAATGCCCTCAATGACCCAAATGCCCTCAATGACCCAACTGATCTCAGTGATCCCAACTGATCTCAAAGACCCAAATGCTCTCAATGACCCAACTGATCTCAATGACCCAAATGCCCTCAATGACCCAAATGCCCTCAATGACCCAACTGATCTCAATGACCCAACTGATCTCAAAGACCCAAATGCTCTCAAAGACCCAAATGCTCTCAATGATCCATATGCTCTCAAAGACCCAAATGCCCTCAATGATCCCAATGCTCTCAATGACCCAAATGCTCTCAATGATCCCAATGATCTCAATGACCCAACTGATCTCAAAGACCCAAATGCTCTCAATGACCCAAATGCTCTCAATGATCCCAATGATCTCAATGACCCAAATGCTCTCAAAGACCCAAATGCTCTCAATGACCCAAATGCTCTCAAAGACCCAAATGCTCTCAATGACCCAAATGCTCTCAATGATCCCAACTGATCTCAATGATCCCAATGATCTCAATGACCCAAATGCTCTCAATGATCCCAACTGAGCTCGTCGATCCAAATAGCCCCAACAATCTCAATGATCTCTTTGTGATTTTGAGCCCCTCCCTGGAAGGTTTCTTCTTGGCCTGGGGCCCTTTGGGAGCCGCAGAGAGGAGCCCCCCCCCCCCCCCGCTTGCCTCCAGCCCCTGCTTCCATGGCGCATCCAGAGCCAGCACTGGGAGGAATGGGGGCACAAACAGAAGCGGATGGGGTGGGAGGACGTGGACGGAGGCGCCGCTGCTCCCGCGCACCGCGGCCGGGATGCCGGGGGTCCCTTTCCCCCCTCGGGGCGCGGAGGCAGCGCCGCGGGGCTCGGGTTTCGCGGCTCCTCCCGCTCGCACAACATCTGCAGCAGCTGCGATCGCGATCCGCGGCAGGAAGGCGCGGGGGAAGCGGAGGGAGGCGCGAGCGGGGGCGCTGCGGGCGGCGGCGGCAGCGGGAGCGGAGCCGTTCGGCACCGCCGGCACCCGCGGGCATCGCCGGAGCGCGGAGGGGGCCCCGACCCGTCCCATGCAGAGGTGAGCGGGGAGCAGCGCCCGAGGCGCGGGGCCAGCGGGGACCGGCTCGCCCCCGGCACCCCGCAGTGTGGAGAGCGGGCGGGGGGGTGCCAGGGCGCTGGTGGGGGCGTTGGGACCCCCCTGAGCTCCGGAGGGCCCCGTGTCCCCACGCTGGGGTCCCGGCGGGGACACCTCAATGAGGCACAGGGGTAGCGCCAGCACCGCGCAGGGGCTGTGGCTGAGGCACACCGGGGACATCCCAGCGGAGCCGCGCGATGGGGTGAATCCCACAAAGGATCCCATGCTCGACATCAACACCGAGCCCCCGGCGCCTCTCCCTTGCCTGGCTCTGCCTCCCTGAGTCCAACCCAAACTTGTTTCCTCTCCCTGTTTCCGCGAGCCCCTGCAGAGGCAGAAATGGTGGAAAGTCCTCGAAAACGCTGCTGGAATGAGCCCCGGGATCCTTCCCCAGAGCTGGAAGCTGTGGGTCAGGCAGCCCCATGTGCAGGCAGCGCGGTCACCGCCCGGGGATGGGGCTGGAGGACACCAGGGCTCCACTGACGCAGCCGATGGGAACCGAGGGACCCACTCGCTTCCTCCAGCAGGGATTATGGGATGCCAGGCTCATGGGGTGCCCCCAGACCTCAGGAGTGCCCTGGCATTGGGTGCAGGGGCTGGGTCTCCGGAGGGGGGCAGGAATCCCCTTTGTGGGGCTGGAGGACACCTCGGTCCCTTGTTCTGCTGCCACCACCACCAGAGTGGGCTGAGGCTGCTCATATTCCTCATGGGAGCCCAGGCAGGGGCTGGGCAGCTCGGGGATGGAGGCAGCCAAGAGCCAACCCCACAATGAGACCTGGATCCTGGTGGGCCTCTGGAATGCCTGTCCGGACCTTCCCGTGGCCTTGGAGGGGCAGGAATGAAGCCATCGGGTCACCACAGCCCGAGGTCTTGCTTCGCACTCCCACTCCCCGACAGCTCCCGCAGCAGCGGGATGCAGGAAGGCTCCGCTGGGAGCTCAGCCCCCAGGGTGGGGATACAAAGGACATCCCTGCATAGCCCCGTTGGGCTGGGGGGGCAGAACTGGGGTTATCCCCCCCCCCCCAGCCCTGGGGCTGCACAAGGGGTGTGCGGGACAAAGGGACACCAGGAATGCAAGCTCAGCGCTGGGCAGGGCTCCCGTTGGAGGAGACCCAAATTCCCAGCGCTGGAGGGGGGAGAACCCCTCGCAGGACCCTCAGAACCCCTTGGGAAGCCCGGTTTGGGCCACGGGATCACAGCATCCTTTAGGCAGCAGAAGCCCATCCATAGCACACCGGGGAGGCACCGAGGGCAGGACCCAGGCTCAGGGCCGGCAGCGGGCGCTGGGTTTGGCTTGGGGAGGAGCGAGGCCGCTCCCGATGAGCTCAGCGTGGTCCTGAGCCCGTGGCTCCGCAGGATGGGAGCAGCCGGAGCCGGGCGGTGACCGCTGCATTGACAGGGGGGCTGTAAAGGGTCTCCTGCTGTAAAGGGTCAGGCCTCTGGGGCCAGGCTGAGAGAGCTGGGCTGGGGCAGCCTGGACAAGAGAAGGCTCCTGAAGGGGAGACCTGAGAGCAGCTCCAGTGCCTGAAGGGGCTGCAGGAAAGCTGGAGAGGGGCTTGGGACAAGGGATGTAGGGACAGGCCAAGGGGAATGGCTTTAACCTGCCAGAGGGGAGACTGAGATGAGCTCTTAGGCAGAAGCTCTTCCCTGGGAGGGTGCTGAGGCGCTGGCACAGGGTGCCCAGAGAAGCTGTGGCTGCCCCATCCCTGGCAGTGCTCAAGGCCAGGTTGGACACAGGGGCTTGGAGCAAGCTGCTCCAGTGGAAGGGGTCCCTGCCCGTGGCAGGGGCTGGAACTGGAGGAGCTTTAAGGTCCCTTTACCCAGGTGTCCATGGGGTCTCCTCACCCCTCAGAGCATCCCAGTCTCCCCTCTGTTGGGTTAAAGCCATTCCCCGGGTCCTGTCCCCAGTCCCTGATGGAATCCTTCACCTCACCATCCCTCACCCCACCATCCCTCATCCCTCACCCCACCATCCCTCATCCCTCACCCCATCATCCCTCACCCCATCACCCCTCACCCCACCATCCCTCACCCCACCATCCCTCACCCCACCATCCCTCACCCCACCATCCCTCACCCCACCATCCCTCATCCCTCACCCCACCATCCCTCACCCCACCATCCCTCACCCCACCATCCCTCACCCCACCATCCCTCACCCCACCATCCCTCATCCCTCACCCCACCATCCCTCACCCCATCATCCCTCACCCCATCATCCCTCACCCCATCATCCCTCACCCCACCATCCCTCACCCCACCATCCCTCACCCCACCATCCCTCATCCCTCACCCCACCATCCCTCACCCCATCATCCCTCACCCCACCATCCCTCACCCCATCATCCCTCACCCCACCATCCCTCACCCCATCATCCCTCACCCCACCATCCCTCACCCCACCATCCCTCACCCCACCATCCCTCACCCCACCATCCCTCACCCCATCATCCCTCACCCCACCATCCCTCATCCCTCACCCCACCATCCCTCACCCCACCATCCCTCACCCCACCATCCCTCACCCCACCATCCCTCACCCCATCATCCCTCATCCCTCACCCCACCATCCCTCACCCCATCATCCCTCACCCCACCATCCCTCACCCCATCATCCCTCACCCCACCATCCCTCACCCCACCATCCCTCACCCCACCATCCCTCACCCCACCATCCCTCACCCCACCATCCCTCACCCCATCATCCCTCATCCCTCACCCCACCATCCCTCACCCCATCATCCCTCACCCCACCATCCCTCACCCCACCATCCCTCACCCCACCATCCCTCACCCCACCATCCCTCACCCCACCATTCCTCCCTTTCCCTTGCAGCCACCAGGAAGAGGACCCCACCATGGCCACGCTCCTGGAGCCCGGGATGCAGAACCTGCGCTTGGGTAAGGCTGGGCCCAGGGAGCTGGGGGGGGTCCCTGTCCCCATCACCCCCCATTGTCCGTGTGACACCCGGGGCCCTCTCCCTTCTCCTCCCCACCGCAGTCACCATCCCATGGGGAGCCCCCAGTGCTGCTCCTGCACGGGGGTAACCAGCACCATGTGCATTGAGGAGCCCTGGCCCTGCCGGCGCCAGCCTGAGCACGGAGGTGACGGCAAGGACGGGCTCCATGGGGGTCCCCCAAATCACTGTTGGTCCAGAGCCCACGCGCTGGGGCTGGCTCCGGACCCATGGAAGGATGCTCTGTTCCGGATGGGTCTCCGGAGCCCCACGCTCCAAGCCCGGCTCATCCCCCTGCCTGACCTGGGGGATGCTTCCCCCCCCCCCCACAACGGGGGGGCTCCGGCCTCCCCCCGCTGCTGGCACACAGAGACATCCCGAGGGACATCCCTGTTTGTCAGGGATCAAATATTCATGGCACGGACACGGATACAGCAAAAGGCACTTACGGAGCATGGAGGGACCGGAGGCGCATCCTGGTGGGGAGCAGCCGGGAGCGGGAGGGGGGGGCACGGGACAAAGCAGGATCCTGGCACCGGGACGTGTCAAGGGACGCAGCCCTGGCCGGGCAAGGAGAGGAAGCGCTGGGGGGAGCTGGGACCGCAGCCCCAGGATGGGGGGGGGGGGATCAAGTCCAGCCCCAGCCCCACAGCTGCTGCTGTTGGGGGTCCCAGAGCATCCCCAGGGCAGGCTCTGGGGCTCCCGTGCTGCCAGAGGGATTTAGGGAGCTAACAAGGGACGCACCGGGATGCTCCCTCGGCGCACAGGGGTTGCCCTGGGAGCTGGGGTGGATGCGTGGGTCCATGGGGCGGTTGGATACCCCCGTGCCACTGCCTGGCCCCCACATCCCATTCCCAGGGGTTCCATAACCTCTGGGAAAGGCGGCCCCGCTCCCCCAGCCCCCCCGGAGCAGCTGGAGCCCGTCCATGGTGATTAATCCCCCTGTGCTAATGGGAACCATGTGGCAGGAGGAGCGGAGGCGGCTCCGTGGGGCCGGCACACCGGGAATAGCCGGGAATAACCAGGAACCCAGGGCAGGGTCACGGAGGAGGCAGGGGGGTGGTTGGGGTCCGAGGGGGAGGAAGAGGAGGAGGAGATGGACACTTGCCCTGCCTCAGTGCCCCCCAGCACCTCTCATCCCAAGTTTTCCCCCCATCCCAGGGGCAATGGGGACACGGGGCTGGCAGGTCCTTGGCTCCCTGTGCTGCTTCCTCTCTGGTGATGGAGGGGGCGTTGAGCCCGTGTCTCCTCACCAGATCCTGCCCACGCCGCTGCGTGGAACCCCCCGAAACCACAACCAGGCCACCCCGACCATGGAATGGGTTGGAAGGGACCTCAAAGCTCCTCCAGCTCCAGCCCCTGCCACGGGCAGGGACCCCTTCCACTGGAGCAGCTTGCTCCAAGCCCTGTGTCCAACCTGGCCTTGAGCACTGCCAGCGATGGGGCATCTTCCCATCGGGCAAGCGCTGATGTCCCCAGGCCACAGAGGAGGAGGAGATCCCTCATTCCTGGAGCCCTTCTTCACCCCTTATCCCCCCCCATAGGCAGCGAGAGGGATGCCCATGAGCTCCCCAGTGCTAACACCAAGTGTAACTGGTTCCTGCACCTCCTGACACCTCCAAGGGCTTCCTCTCTTGCTATTTAACCAGCGCTGGCGAGCTCCTTCCTTACACTGGTTGAACCCCAGACCTGCCCTCTATGGATCCCACCGGGATCAGCGGCCATGACCCATTGGGATGTCTCCATCGCAGCGAGAGGATGCCGAGTGCTGCCCTCCCCTAAGGGAAGGGTCTCAAGGAGGATCCAGGTCCTGCTCCATCCCCATCCCTGTCCCCCTGTGTCCACAGGTGCCAGTGGCGAGCGCTGCCCCACGCCGTCCCCCCCCGGCTCCCCGGAGACCCCTCACGATAGCTGCAGCATCGCCCCATTGACGCCCTCCCAGTCACCGGTAAGGAACGGGGGGGTCCCTGGGTCTGTTCTCGTGGCATTGCCCCCCATTTTGGCCTTCCCCTGGTCAGTGGTGACCCCCCCATTGCCTCCCATCCCGGTTTCCATCCCCAACAGCAGCCCAAGGGTGGGTCAGCGTGACCCCAGGGCATCCTTTAGGCATGGGACTGCTGGGATGGAGGAGGCAGGAGAGGAGCCGGAGGAGCACCAGCATCCGTTCCAGTTTAAGTCACTGCGAGGCTGCGGGCTCAGCTCGCTCCCGTGGGCATCCCGGAGGATGGAGGGCGGCAGGGAACGTGCCGGAGCAGGGACACGTCGGAGACAAGCTCCTGAGCCGTGTTCCTGCCGGCGCTCTTCACGGCCGGCTGCCTCCTGCGCCCCGCAAAGCGGGACGTGTTAAAAGTTAATGAGGGCTTTTAGCTTCCCGTGTCTGCCCCGCACGCCTGGGAGCCTCCGGCATGGATACAGGGATCACCGTGACTTCACGGTCCCCTTGGCACCTCCACCCGCCATCGCCAGCCGCGAGACAAGGGATGGGGAGCAACAGGGGGGCCAGGAAAGCATCAGAGAACCCGCCAGGGGCATTCGGGCCAGGAAGGGTTTGGGTTGGGGGGTCCACGGGGTGGGATGAGGCTCCTGGAACAGAGATGGGGAGCAGCTGACAATGCAGTCATGGAATCATGGACTGGTTTGGGTTGAAGGGACCTCAAAGCTCCTCCAGCCCCAACCCCTGCCTCGGGCAGGGACCCCTTCCACTGGAGCAGCTCGCTCCGAGCCCCGTCCAAACCCTTTGTCCCACGGAGCTTTAGGAGCAATCACAGCATCCCCACGGAGCCTGGTGCCCGCCGAGCCTTTGCTCCATGGTCCGGAGCTGGGCAAGAGGAGGAATCGGCCCTTGCTGCCGGCACCAGAGCAAAGCACAGCATCAGCGCATCCCTTGCCCTGGTCCATGGGGGGTTAAACCCCTTACCCAGTTTTCGGGCAGCATCCAGCCCCGTTTGGGTGCGTGCCCTCGGCGCAGAGCCCATCCCGAAGGGCTTCCCTCGTGTTCCAGAGGAGCGAGGCTCGCTCGCGGCAAACCGCGTCCTTCGCCGTGGTGGTGGCCATCGACTTCGGCACCACGTCCAGCGGATACGCCTTCAGCTTCCGCAGCGACCCCGAGGCCATCCACATGATGAGGTGAGGGGCAGCGAGGCCGCCTTGAGGGGGGCAGCGGGACCCCGCCGTGGGGTGGAGGGAGCCCGGGGGATGCTCTCTGCTTCAGCCGTGGGCAGCTCCCCGTTAGGGCTCCGCTCGTTAGAGCCCCGGGGGAGCAGCGCAAGCTCCGCGCACGGCCTCGGCAGGGACCTTGCCCCGTTCTGCGTCCCTTGGGGCGCTGCCATGGGGTGAACACAGCGGGGCCGGGGCCGGGGCCGGCCTTGAGCTTCACAGGCTCCTGTTCGCAGGAAATGGGAAGGAGGGGACCCGGGGGTGGCCAACCAGAAGAGCCCGACCAGCCTCCTGCTCACGCCCGACGGCGCCTTCCACAGCTTCGGCTACACGGCCAGGGACTATTACCATGACCTGGACCCCGAGGAGGCCCGCGAGTGGCTCTACTTCGAGAAGTTCAAGATGAAGATCCACAGCACGAGCGTACGGCAGGGGGCACGGGGCATGGGGCATGGAGCATGGGGCATGGGGCACGGGGCATGGGGCATGGGGCATGGGGCACGGGGCATGGGGCATGGGGCATGGAGCATGGGGCATGGGGCATGGGGCACGGGGCATGGGGCATGGGGCATGGAGCACGGGGCACGGGGCATGGGGCATGGAGCATGGGGCATGGAGCATGGGGCACAGGGCATGGAGCATGGGGCATGGAGCATGGGGCATGGGGCACGGGGCATGGGGCACGGAGCATGGAGCATGGGGCATGGGGCACGGGGCATGGAGCATGGGGCATGGGGCACAGGGCATGGAGCACGGGGCATGGGGCACGGAGCATGGAGCATGGGGCACAGAGCATGGGGCATGGGGCACCGAGCATGGGGTATGGGGCACGGGGCACAGAGCATGGGGCACGGAGCATGGGGCATGGAACATGGGGCACGGGTCATGGGGCACGGGGCATGGGGCATGGAATGGGTTGGGTGGAAGGCTTGGAGCGTGGGGCTCCAGAGACCCATCCGGACCAGAGCATCCTTCCATGGGTCCGGAGCCAGCCCCAGTGCGTGGGCTCTGGACCAACAGTGATTTGGGGGACCCCCATGGAGCCCGTCCTTGCCGTCACCTCCGTGCTCAGGCTGGCGCCGGCAGGGCCAGGGCTCCTCAATGCACATGGTGCTGGTTACCCCCGTGCAGGAGCAGCACTGGGGGCTCCCCATGGGATGGTGACTGCGGTGGGGAGGAGAAGGGAGAGGGCCCCGGGTGTCACACGGACAATGGGGGGTGATGGGGACAGGGACCCCCCCCAGCTCCCTGGGCCCAGCCTTACCCAAGCGCAGGTTCTGCATCCCGGGCTCCAGGAGAGTGGCCATGGTGGGGTCCTCTTCCTGGTGGCTGCAAGGGAAAGGGAGGGATGGTGGGGTGAGGGATGATGGGGTGAGGGATGGTGGGGTGAGGGATGAGGGATGGTGGGGTGAGGGATGAGGGATGATGGGGTGAGGGATGGTGGGGTGAGGGATGGTGGGGTGAGGGATGAGGGATGATGGGGTGAGGGATGGTGGGGTGAGGGATGATGGGGTGAAGGATTCCATCAGGGACTGGGGACAGGACCCAAGGAATGGCTTTAACCCAACAGAGGGGAGACTGGGATGCTCTGAGGGGTGAGGAGACCCCATGGACACCTGGGTAAAGGGACCTTAAAGCCCCTCCAGCCCCAACCCCTGCCACGGGCAGGGACCCCTTCCATAGAGCAGCTTGCTCCAAGCCCCTGTGTCCAACCTGGCCTTGAGCACTGCCAGGGATGGGGCAGCCACAGCCTCTCCGGGAGCCCAGGACACCCCATTTGCTGCCGCTGCCCTTCCCGCAGGACCTCACCATGAGCACGGAGCTGGAAGCCGTCAACGGGAAGAAGCTGCAGGCGCTGGAGGTGTTCGCGCACGCGCTCCGCTTCTTCAAGCAGCACGCGGTGCAGGTAGGGCCACGGCCCCCTCTTCCCTCCTCTGCCTCCCCGCTGCCGGGGCGCTGCTCCCCGCCTCCCATCCTGGGGCTCCATCCCGCCAGGAGCTGAAGGAGCAGTGCCCGGCGCTGCCCGAGCGCGATGCCATCCGCTGGGTCATCACCGTGCCGGCCATCTGGAAGCAGCCGGCCAAGCAGTTCATGAGGGAGGCTGCATACAGGGTGAGGGTGGGGTGGGGTGGGGTGGGAGGGGATGGAGAGGGATGAGATGGGATGGACAGGGATGGGATGGGATGGGATGGGATGGAAAGGGATGGGATGGGATGGGATGGAAAGGGATGGGATGGATGGGATGGGCAGGGATGGGATGGAAAGGGATGGGATGGGCAGGGATGGGATGGGATGGGATGGAAAGGGATGGGATGGGCAGGGATGGGATGGACAGGGCTGGAATGGGCTGGGATGTTCAGGGATGGGATGGGGTGGGATGGGATGGGCTGGGATGCACAGGGATGCGATGGGCAGGGATGGGATGGGATGGGCAGGGATGGGCAGGGGTGGGATGGGATGAGATGCTCAGGGATGGGATGTTCAGGGATGGGTTGCTCAGGGATGGGATGTTCAGGGATGGGATGCTCAGGGATGGGATGCTCAGGGATGGGATGCTCAGGGATGGGATGCTCAGGGATGGGATGTTCAGGGATGGGTTGCTCAGGGATGGGATGTTCAGGGATGGGATGCTCAGGGATGGGATGCTCAGGGATGGGATGTTCAGGGATGGGATGTTCAGGGATGGGTTGCTCAGGGATGGGATGTTCAGGGATGGGATGCTCAGGGATGGGATGCTCAGGGATGGGATGTTCAGGGATGGGATGCTCAGGGATGGGATGTTCAGGGATGGGATGTTCAGGGATGGGATGTTCAGGGATGGGATGCTCAGGGATGGGATGCTCAGGGATGGGATGCTCAGGGATGGGATGTTCAGGGATGGGATGGGCAGGGATGGGATGGGATGAGATGCTCAGGGATGGGATGTTCAGGGATGGGATGTTCAGGGATGGGATGTTCAGGGATGGGTTGCTCAGGGATGGGATGTTCAGGGATGGGATGGGCAGGGATGAGATGCTCAGGGATGGGATGCTCAGGGATGGGATGTTCAGGGATGGGTTGCTCAGGGATGGGATGGGATGAGATGCTCAGGGATGGGATGCTCAGGGATGGGATGCTCAGGGATGGGATGCTCAGGGATGGGATGTTCAGGGATGGGATGCTCAGGGATGGGATGTTCAGGGATGGGTTGCTCAGGGATGGGATGTTCAGGGATGGGATGCTCAGGGATGGGATGCTCAGGGATGGGATGTTCAGGGATGGGTTGCTCAGGGATGGGATGTTCAGGGATGGGATGTTCAGGGATGGGTTGCTCAGGGATGGGATGTTCAGGGATGGGATGCTCAGGGATGGGATGTTCCCCCCTCCATCCCCATGTCCCGTTATCCCTCCAGGCCGGGCTGGTGTCCCCGGAGAGCCCGGAGCAGCTCCTGATCGCGCTGGAGCCCGAGGCCGCCTCCATCTACTGCAGGAAGCTCCGGCTCCATCAACTGACCGACCTGAGCTGCAAGGCCGCGGGCACGGGGCTGGCTCCGGAGCATCCCATTGACTCCAGCTTCCGGCAGGGTGAGCGGCACCGGCATCACCCCAGACTGGGTCCTGCTCTTCCATCCAGAGGGGCATTCCCACAGGGATGAGCATCCCGGGGAGCTCCCAGGGCAGGGAGCAGGTCTCAGTCATGGACCCGGCGCCTGCCTCCCGCTCGGCATCAGCGATGGAGCAGAGCCGCAGCCGGGGAAGCAGCGATGGCTCCCTCCCCGCTCCTCCGCCCCCGGCCCTTTTCCACGCTCCCATCCCCTTCCCTGCGGTTTTCCTTGCTCTGGCACTTCATCCAACGCGGCTGAGCCAAGGGAAAGCCTCAGCGCAGGGACAGGGAAGAGCTGGGTCCGGGACCCGCGGCATCCCCAGCTGACGGGGAAACCGAGGCAGGGCTGAGCGGGGCCTTGTGCCAAGGGGGGAAATGAGACCCCATGCACTCTGCTTCCCCCTTTCCCCCCCTATCCCCCGTTCCAAGCCCACCCGAGCCGTGCACCCCCCACGGGCTTAGCCCCTGCCATCAGCCCGACCTGCCCTCGCCGCCTCCCCCCTTCCCTTTCCCGGCATTCCCGTTTCTGCTGCCTCAGCTGGAATGTCGCTGGATCCCTCCCAGCGGCTCCCCTTGGCCCTGACCACCCCAGCGCCCCCATAGGGGCCGAGGCCTCGGGCTTCCCGATCCCACAGCGACCTCCCTGTATGGGGAGAGGATCACCCCCCCCCCCCCCGCCCCACGGAGCTCCCCCCATGTGTGGTCTGGAGCTGGGATCATCCGGTGCCTCCTGCCTTTGTCTTGGCCGGGGCCGCATCCGGATGCATGGAGCTGCATCCCGGAGGCTGAGGGTGATGGACCTGGTGCTGCATGTGCATCCCGGCGTGCCGAAAACAGGGATAACCCCACATTCCCAAAGAGCTCCTGCCCTTCCGGGTGCTTTGGTGATGGGAGGGGGGGGGGGAAGCAGAGGAAACCCCACCCGGGAAGAGGGAAAAGGGCACTGGATGTGGTGAGCTGGGGTCCCATAGGATCCTATGGGATAATGGGAAGAGCAGCAGGGATGGCTGCGTTACATCGGGTTGGGAGGGAGCGGAAAACCAGTGCATCCCACCGTGGCATTCCCAATGCACATGGGCTGCTCCCCTCCGATCCTGATGCTGGCCCTGCCGTTGCATCCCGCAGCTCGGGAACAGCTCCGGAGATCCCGTCACAGCCGCACGTTCCTGGTGGAATCGGGAATGGGGGAGCTCTGGTCGGAAATGCAGGCAGGTAGGAGAAGGGATGGCTCCATGGAAGGGCCCGATTGGATCACGCTGGGATGGGAAGAGGGGCTGGAGGGGTCACTAAGGGTCCTTGCATGGGGGTGATGCGCTTGGAGCAGTGGGATGCATCCCCTGGGGTACCCACCCCATGGGCTTGGGGCAACGGGCTCAGCCCGTTGCCCCAAGCCCATGGGGTGGGTACCCCAGGGGAGCAGGCCTGATGCACGGTGATGGGCTATGGGGTGGGGAGCACACAGGAGCATGGGGTGGGTATCCCAGAGGGTCAGGCCTGATGCACGGTGATGGGCTATGGGTGGGGAGCACACAGGAGCATGGGGTGGGTATCCCAGAGGGTCAGGCCTGATGCACGGTGATGGGCTATGGGGTGGGGAGCACACAGGAGCATGGGGTGGGTATCCCAGAGGGTCAGGCCTGATGCAGGGTGATGGGCTACGGGGTGGGGAGCACTCAGGACCACCCCCCCTCAGCCCCTGCACTGCCCCTAGGTGACAGGTACATCGTGGCTGACTGCGGGGGGGGCACCGTGGACCTCACCGTGCATCAGATCGAGAAGCCCCAGGGGACGCTGAAGGAGCTCTACAAAGCCTCAGGTGAGGGGGACACCCCAAAAGGGGGGACCCCATCATAAGGGGTTTGGGGTCCCTCGGTGGCAGCAGTGGGGTCGTGGCGCCATCTGGTGACAGCGAGGAGAAGGGCAGGGAGGGGGGACAGGGATGCTGGATGCGGGGACAAGGGGGGACAGGGATGTTGGGATGGGGGTGACAGTGGGACATGGGTGTTGGGATATGGGGGTACAAGGTGGGACAGGGATGTTGGGATGGGGGTGACAGTGGGATATGGGTGATGGATTATGAGGGTACAAGGTGGGACAGGGATGCTGGATGGGGGTGACAGTGGGACATGGGTGTTGGGATATGGGGGTACAAGGTGGGACAGGGATGCTAGGATGGGGGTGACAGTGGGACATGGGTGATGGGTTATGGGGGTACAAGGTGGGACGGGGTGCTGGGATGGGGGGTGCTGGGATGGGGTAACAGTGGGACATGGGTGATGGGTTATGGGGGTACAAGGTGGGACAGGGGTGCTGAGTGGGGGGTCAGATGGGGCAGGGATTCAGGTGGGACAGGGATGCTGCATTGAGGGGTGACGGAGGGACAGGGGTGCTGGGCTGGGGCAGGCAGGGACAGGGGTGCTGCGGGGCAGGACAAGGCCAGAAGCTGAGGCCCAGAGCACCCAACCTGGGGCCACGGACCCACCGGTGTCCCCATGTGCCAGCCGGGGCAGCACCGGGTGATGCTGGGCTGTGGGACATGAGGATGGGGGCCATGGGGATGGAGGACATGGGGATGGGGGCCATGGGGATGGAGAACATAGGGATGTGGGACATGGGATGGGGGACATGGGGATGTAGTAATGGGGATGGAGTAATGGGGATGGGGGACATGGGGATGGAAGACATGGGGATGGAGAACATAGGGATGAGGCACATGGGGACTGGGGACATGGGGATGGGGGTTATGGGGATGGGGGACATGGGGATGGGGGACATGGGGATGGGGGTTACGGGATGGGGCACATGGGGATGGAGCACATGGGGATGGGGGACATGGGGACAGTGCCCGATCCACCCCTCTGGCTCCGCAGGGGGTCCCTATGGGGCCGTGGGGGTGGACCTGGCCTTCGAGCAGCTCCTGTGCCACATCTTCGGGGCGGATTTCATCTCCACGTTCAAGGCCAAGCGCCCGGCGGCCTGGGTGGACCTCACCATCGCCTTCGAGGCGCGGAAGCGAGCGGCGGCCCCGGCCCGCGCCAGCGCCCTCAACATCTCCCTGCCCTTCTCCTTCATCGACTTCTACCGCAAGCACCGCGGGCAGAACGTGGAGACGGCGCTGAAGAGGAGCAAGTGAGGGCCTGGGGGGGGGAATGGGGCTTGGGGTGCTCTAAACTGGGGTGCTCTGCTCCTGGGAGGGGGGAGCCACTGGTGAGGGCAGGCCTGGATCTTCTCTCCTTCCCCAGTGTTAACTTGGTGAAGTGGTCGTCCCAAGGGATGCTGCGGATGTCCCCCGAGGCCATGAGCGAGCTCTTCCAGCCCACCATCAGCCAGATCATCAAACACATCGGTAGGGCTTCATGGAGTCAGGGAATGGGCTGGCTTGGAAAGGAGCAATCATGGAATCACAGCATGGTTTGGGTTGGAAGGGACCTCAAAGCTCCTCCAGCCCCAACCCCTGCCCCGGGCAGGGACCCTTCCACTGGAGCAGCTTTGCTTCAAGCCCCTGTGTCCAACCTGGCCTTGAGCACTGCCAGGGATGGGGCTCTTCTTGTTGAGCATCTTCTTGTACCTGCTACTGATCCGGTAGCCATGGGCAGGGCCTCCTCACACTGGGTGTGTTGAAGGGTGGGAACAGGCATTGCAAAGGGGGTCCCCTTGTGCCTTGGGATCCTGACACCCTCCCGCCATCACTGGGGTAGGGGCAAAGGTTGGACTTGATGACAACAATGGTTGGACTTGATCCTAATGGGGGGACTTGACTTAAATGGTTGGACTTGATGATCTCAATGGTTGGACTCTATCTCAGTGGTTGGACTTGGTGATCTCAATGACTGGGCTTGATCTTAATGGTTGGACTCGATTGTAATGGTTGGACTTGATCTCAATGGCTGGAACTTAATCATGGTTGATCTCAGTGGTTGACTTGATAATGGTTGGAATTGACGATGGTTGGACTTGATGATCTCAATGGTTGGACTTGATCTCAACGGTTGGACTTGATCTTAATGTTTGGACTTCATGATCTCAATGGTTGGTCTTAGGACTCTCAGTTGTTGGACTTGATGATCTCAATGGTTGGACTTGATCTCAACGGATGGACTTGATCTTAATGTTTGGACTTGATGATCTCAATGGTTGGTCTTAGGACTCTCAGTTGTTGACCTTGATGATCTCAATGGCTGGACTTGGTCTTAATGGACTCTATCTCAGTGGCTGGACTTGATGTTCTCAATGGTTGAACTTGGTGATAATGGACTTCTTGATCTCAGTGGTTGGACTTGATGTCCTCAATGGTTAGATTTGATCTCAGTGGCTGGACTTGACAGCGGTTGGACTTGATGATCTCAATGGTTGGATTTGTTGATCTCAGAGGTTGGACTTGATAATGGTTGGACTTAATGGTTGGACTTGGTGACCTCGGTGGTTGGACTTGATCTCAATGGTTGGGCTTGATCTCAACGGTTGGACTTAATGGTTGGACTTGATGATCTCAGTGGTTGGACTTGTTGATCTCAGTGGTAATTTAATGGTTGGACTTGACCTTAGTGGTTGGACTTGATCTGAATGGTTGGGCTTGACCTTAGTGGTTGGACTTGATCTCAATGGTTGGGCATGATCTCAATGGTTGGACTTAATGGTTGGACTTGATGATCTCAATGGTTGGACTTGACCTGAATGGTTGGACTTAATGATATCAATGGTTGGACTTGATCTCAACGGTTGGACTTAATGGTTGGACTTGATGATCTCAGTGGTTGGACTTGACCTTAATGGTTGAACTTGATCTCAATGGTTGGACTTGATCTCAATGGTTGGGTTTGATTTCAACCGTTGAACTCGGTGACCTCAGTGGTTGGACTCGATGACCTTCACGGTCTTTCCCACCCCGTTTTGCCTCGGTGACTCCACAGCCACCCCCACAGCCCCAACTCCCCCCCTCTTTCTCCCCCTTTCCCCTCCCCAGACGATCTCCTCAAGAAGCCGGAGGTCCAAGGCATCAAGTTCCTGTTCCTGGTGGGGGGCTTCGCCGAGTCGCCCATGCTGCAGGGCGCGGTGCAGGCGGCGTTGGGCGCGGCGTGCCGGGTGCTGGTGCCGCAGGACGTGGGGCTCACCATCCTCAAGGGCGCCGTGCTCTTCGGCCTCGACCCCACCGTCGTGCGCGTGCGCCGCTCGCCCCTCTCCTACGGCGTGGGCGTGCTCAACAAGTTCGTGGAGGGGAAGCACCCCCGCGAGAAGCTGCTGCTGAAGGGCGGCCGGGCCTGGTGCACCGACGTCTTCGAGCGCTTCGTGGCCGTGGACCAGTCGGTGGCGTTGGGCGAGGTGGTGCAGCGCCGGTACTGCCCGGCGCGGCCGGGCCAGCGCAGGACCGTCATCAACGTCTACTGCAGCGCCTCCGACGAGGCGCAGTACATCACCGACCCCGGCGTGCGCAAGTGCGGCACCGTCAGCCTGGAGCTGGAGGAGCTGGGCCGCGGCGCGGGCGCGCGCAGGGAGATCCGCGCCTCCATGCAGTTCGGAGACACCGAGATCAAGGTGACCGCCGTGGACGTCAGCACCGCCAAGACCGTGCGGGCCACCATCGACTTCCTCGGCAACTGAGCCCCGCGGCACCCGCGCGGGGGGCGATGCAGCTCCCGTGGGTGCCCTGGGACGCCCGTGGGTGCTCTGGGACATCTGTGGGTGCTCTGGGACATCCCGTGGGTGCTGTGGGACATCCGTGGGTGCTCTGGGACATCCGTGGGTGCTGTGGGACATCCCATGGGCGCTCTGGGACGCCTGTGGGTGCTGTGGGACGCCCCATGGGTGCTGTGGGACATCTGTGGGTGCTGTGGGACATCCCATGGGTGCTCTGGGACGCCCCATGGGTGCTGTGGGACATCCCATGGGTGCTCTGGGACATCCCATGGGTGCTGTGGGACGCTCCATGCGTGCTGTGGGACACCCATGGGTGCTGTGGGACATCCCGTGGGTGCTGTGGGACATCCCATGGATGCTCTGGGACATCCCATGGGTGCTGTGGGACATCCGTGGGTGCTCTGGGACATCCCATGGGTGCTGTGGGACATCCCATGGGCGCTCTGGGACGCCTGTGGGTGCTGTGGGACGCCCCATGGGTGCTGTGGGACATCCCATGGGTGCTCTGGGACATCCCATGGGTGCTCTGGGACATCCCATGGGTGCTGTGGGACATCCGTGGGTGCTGTGGGACACCCCATGGGTGCTGTGAGACATCCGTGGGCGCTGTGGGACACCCCATGGGTGCTTTGGGACACCCGTGGGTGCTGTGGGACACCCCATGAGTGCTTTGGGACACCACATTGGTCCTTTGGGACACCCATGGATGCTTTGGGACACCCATGGGTGATCTGGAACACGCCATGAGTGCTCTGGGGCACCCACGGGTGCTTTGGGATATGCCATTGGTCCTTTGGGACACCCCATTAGTACTCTGGGACATCCCATGGGTGCTTTGGGACACCCATTAGTGCTTTGGAACACCCCGTTGGTCCTTTAGGACACCCCATGAGTGCTCTGGGGGACACCCATGGGTGCTTTGGAACACCCTAGAGATCCTTTGGAACACCCCATTAGTGCTTTGGGACACCCCCTTGTTTTAGGACACCCATTCGTATTTTGGGACACCCACAGACGCTTTGGGCCACCCACGGGCGCTTTGGGGATGCTCATCAGTGTTTGAGACACCCATTTGTGTTTCGGGACCCCCCCAGGTACTTTAGGGCACTTCTGGGTGCTCCGAGACACCCCATGAGTGCTCTGGGACACCCATGGGTGCAAGGACGCAGGCAGACACCGAGCTGCCACCAGGCCCCTCTTGCAGGCCCTCGACTCAAGGGACACCCCAAAGCTGCTGCACCTCCCATAGGAATGGGTCGGGATTTGACTGTTAGGAAACGGCCGCCCCCCAAGTGTGGGTCGTGGCCACCAGCAAGCCCCAGAGCACCCCTGAGGCCCCAGCCCCACATCCTGCACCCACAGAGATGGATTTTGTCACACACCCCCCCCAGTGCAGCCCAGTGAGGATGGGGCAGGGACACAGCGGGGGGCCCCAGACCCCCTTGCAATGGGACTGTGCAGCACAAAGCCCCTATCCCCATCCCCATCCCCACACAGGGATAGGCTCCTGCAGCCCCTTGTACCCTTATGGGGTGCCCCTTCTCCGTCCGCCCCGTGTCCTCCATAGGGTTTAATGGGGTTGCAGCACCAGCCCCAGTGCTCCCAGGGGGTTCAATGGGGGTGAATTGGGCTCCATTCCCCCCCCCCCAGCTCCAGTTTACTCTTTACCTCTATAGGTTTGTACTTAACCCCCACACATACATGTATATGTATATATATATCTCTATATTTATATCTATATATATAGGCACATGAAGCCTCCTGTTGCTGTCAGAACTGAGCCACTGCTCCTGGTCCGTGTACCATGGGGCTCCCTGGGGGGGAACAAGGAAAGGGGAACTGGGGGGGAAAGGGAACTGGAGGGGAAAGGGAACTGGAGGGGAAAAGGGAACTGGAGGGGAAAAGGGAACTGGAGGGGAAAGGGAACTGGAGGGGAAAAGGAAACTGGAGGGGAAAAGGGAACTGGAGGGGAAAAGGAAACTGGAAGGGAAAGGGAACTGGAGGGGAAAGGGAACTGGGGGGGAAAAGGGAACTGGAGGGGAAAAGGGAACTGGAAGGGAAAAGGAAACTGGAGGGGAAAAGGGAACTGGAGGGGAAAAGGAAACTGGAGGGGAAAAGGGAACTGGAAGGGAAAGGGAACTGGAAGGGAAAAGGGAACTGGGGGGGAAAAGGGAACTGGAGGGGAAAAGGGAACTGGAGGGGAAAAGGGAACTGGAGGGGAAAAGGAAACTGGAGGGGAAAAGGGAACTGGAAGGGAAAGGGAACTGGAAGGGAAAAGGGAACTGGAAGGGAAAAGGGAACTGGAAGGGAAAGGGAACTGGGGGGGAAAAGGGAACTGGAGGGGAAAAGGGAACTGGAGGGGAAAAGGGAACTGGAGGGGAAAAGGGAACTGGAAGGGAAAAGGGAACTGGAAGGGAAAGGGAACTGGAGGGGAAAGGGAACTGGAGGGGAAAAGGGAACTGGAGGGGAAAGGGAACTGGAGGGGAAAAGGGAACTGGAGGGGAAAGGGAACTGGAAGGGAAAGGGAACTGGAGGGGAAAGGGAACTGGAGGGGAAAAGGGAACTGGAGGGGAAAGGGAACTGGAAGGGAAAAGGGAACTGGAGGGGAAAGGGAACTGGAAGGGAAAGGGAACTGGAAGGGAAAAGGGAACTGGAGGGGAAAGGGAACTGGGGGGAAAAGGGAACTGGAAGGGAAAGGGAACTGGAAGGGAAAAGGGAACTGGAGGGGAAAGGGAACTGGGGGGGAAAAGGGAACTGGAGGGGAAAAGGGAACTGGAGGGGAAAAGGAAACTGGAGGGGAAAAGAACTGGAAGGGAAAGGGAACTGGAAGGGAAAAGGGAACTGGAAGGGAAAGGGAACTGGAAGGGAAAAGGGAACTGGAGGGGAAAGGGAACTGGGGGGGAAAAGGGAACTGGAGGGGAAAAGGGAACTGGAGGGGAAAAGGAAACTGGAGGGGAAAAGGGAACTGGAAGGGAAAGGGAACTGGAAGGGAAAAGGGAACTGGAAGGGAAAGGGAACTGGGGGGGAAAAGGGAACTGGAGGGGAAAAGGGAACTGGAGGGGAAAAGGGAACTGGAGGGGAAAAGGGAACTGGAAGGGAAAGGGAACTGGAAGGGAAAAGGGAACTGGAGGGGAAAAGGGAACTGGAAGGGAAAGGGAACTGGAAGGGAAAAGGGAACTGGAAGGGAAAAGGGAACTGGAGGGGAAAAGGGAACTGGAAGGGAAAGGGAACTGGAAGGGAAAGGGAACTGGAGGGGAAAGGGAACTGGAGGGGAAAAGGGAAACTGGAAGGGAAAGGATAACAGGACTAAGACCAAGGCGATGGCTGCAACACGAGGACACGGACAGGCTCTGTCCCAGGGACAGCCCTGGGGACCTGACCCCTTCCACTGCCGGACCCTCCCCTGGTCCAGCTCTGCTCTGCACCCCAAGAGGCAAAACCTCACCCTGAGGGGCTCCAGCACCCCCAAACGTCCCTTTCCTGGGGTGCTCCGGGGAGGAAAGCGGGGGGAAAGCAGCAAGAGGGTCCCTTCCCCGGGGCTCCGGCACTGGGGGACCCCCAGCTCCTGGTGACCCCATTGACATGGGGGGGGGGGGGGGGGGGGGGGGGATTTGTCCCTGATTCCATATGGGCTCCATCCTCACGGGGGGGTCAGGGTCTAGTCGAAGCCGTGCCAGTCGCTCTGCTCCGAGTCGTACTCCAGCTCGGCACCGATGCAGCGCACCCCATCCAGCAGCATCGGGGTGCCGTGGTGCCGGTCTGCGGGAGGGAGGGACAGGGACACAGCTGGGGGACAGCCACAGCACCCCCATGCTGGCCTATGGGGCCTTCTGGGGTGTTTTGAGGCCCACAGGTGGTTGTCCCCCCTCCCACCATCACCACACAAGGGATGTTGGTACCCAAGGAGATGCTGGTACCCAAGGGGTGCTGGTAGCCAAGGGGATGCTGGTACCCAAGGGGATGCTGGTACCCAAGGGGATGCTGGTGCCCAAGGCATTCTGGTAACCAAGAGGATGCTGGTACCCAAGGGGATGCTGGTACCCAAGGGATTCTGGTAGCCAAGGGGATGCTGGTACCCAAGCAGATGCTGGTACCCAAGGGGATGCTGGTACCCAAGGAGATGCTGGTACCCAAGGGGAGGGGGATGCAGGGATGCTGCACACTGTGGCTGCGAGGGGATGATGCTCAGCCCGGTGTGACGAGGTGCTGGGGGCACAATGAGTGAACCCCCATCCCTACCCAGCAGGGGGACCCCAAACCCAGCCCCACTGAAGATGCCGGTGGAAGCAGCCACGGTGTCACCCAGTGCAGGGGGGCAGAGCTGTGAAACGTGGCTCTGATGAACCAAGCATCAGGCAGCAAAGGGCGGGGGAGAAGGAAAATCATTAATGACTCTGCTGCCTAATGAGCAGCTGTGGGTGGATGGGGAGGGACCCCAGTGGGGATGGGGTGAGGATGGGGGGGACAAGGGATGCCCCCAAGCCACCCGCTGCAGCCCTGCTCCATGTGCCCCTTCACCAGGGAGGCTCCACAGCCTCAGCCCTTGGGATGGGGATTCTGGGGGTGAAACCCCCCGGGATGGGGATTTGGGGGTGAAACCATCCAGTTTCAGCAGCTCCTCAGGTGGGAAGTGGCTGCGGGGGCTGGACTGGGGGAACTGGTGCGAGCTGGGTTGGGAAGGAGGGAGCACGGGGCAGGCTCATGGGATGCAGGGAGCATCCCCAGCTCGCCAGCACTGCAGAAGGCAGCAGGTCTCTGGCCAAGCCCATGAGCAACCCGTTCCCAGCTGCTCCAGGGAGGAACTGCCACCCCACACCCGGCCCCAGCAGCCCCTTACCCATGACACGGGCTTGGACCACGACCCTGATGGTGGCTCCTTCGCCGGCCTCGCTGGCCAGGACCATCTCCTCCTTCAGCACCCCCTCCTTGTGCGCCGTGTACTCGCACTTCACGCTGTACCCTGGGG